AAAAAAAAAAAATAATAATAATAATAATAATAAAATAAAACCTATCGTTATAAAATAAAGAGTAATAAAAAAAAAAAATTTTTTTTTTTTTAGGGCGTCAAAACACCGGAAAAGGAAAAAAAAAATACAAATAAAAATAATAAAAATTAAAAAAAAAAAAAAAAAAAAAAAGAGGGGGGGGAGAGGGCAGGCAGGCAGCAAATAGAATTTTATTTTATTTAAAAAAAAAAAAAAATTTTTTTTTTAATATGTACTATTTGCAAAACTTCCACAGCCCACAAAAATATACCTAAGTTGTATGATATTTCTTAAAAATATAACTTATATAAAAAAAAAAAAAAAAAAAAAATCTTCGCAAGACTACAATATAAAAGATATCAAATTCACTCTTACATGTCTTTGAGTAACATTTCCAATTTATTATATCAAATAATCCAGTAGGAATCTTGTTACAAGCTCTTTAAATCAGGTAAAAATTAAGTTTTTTCTCCGCAGCATCTTATACTTTATGATAAATCTGAAAATAAAAAATTTAATTTTACAATTAATTATTTTAAAATTATTCTCAAGATCAAAGTTATGTCGGAAATCATCTGTTATGACATTGAAATTTCAACTGTTAAATCCAAATTATTAAATTTGAAACAAAGAAAAGATGGTGATAAGCAACAAAAATAATAAATACATGGATGAGCAAAAATTATTATTATATATAATTGTTAAAAACTGTACTACTTATATTGATGAGAAATGTAAATAAGACCTCAATCATAATGATATAAATATACTTACAACTAGGTGTATTATCTGGAGAAAAATGCCGTTGAATTTGATCTCTGGAAAATTTTAAAAAGGTGTCATATTGTTCACTTAATTTGCTATTGAGAATTTCGTCATATTCTTGCCTAAGTTGATCTTCTCTTTCTCTCACAATACGAGAGCATATTTGATGAACCTAAAAAAAAAAAAAAACAAAGAGGTTGTTACAAAAAACAAAAAATGTAATATTGCATTATATATTATTTTTGAAGCTAATAATTTAAATTTACAAAAAAGAGACAGAGGGAGAGAAAATCAAATAATTAAAATTATTACTTGTACAACTGTTTAATTCTGATCTCTTTTATGAAACTAACCTGCTTGTAGGTAAATAATGTATCTTTTTTAATGTTATTAATAAGGTTTAATGAGCCATCATTTTGAGAATATTCTGGTGACATGGGCATTCCCTCAGAGTCTGAATTTGAACCTTCGCTGGGAGTAGGACTCATGCTCATAGATGCTCCATGATCAATATTACGATGTCCTTTACGTTTTAATCTCTCAATTTCATGGCGAATACTAGCAGCCATTTCATCTGAAAGGAAATGAAAAGAAAGGTTCAATTGTCAATTCATTTTTTCTTTTTTACATTATTGATCAAAAAATTAATGAAAGTAATAGATCATTGATTTTTTGTATGAAATAAAAAAAAATTAATAGAAAACCAAAGACATCAATTTTTTAATCTAGGAATTTTTTTTTTACTTTACAAAAATAAAAACTTGTATTTTTTTTTTTTTTAGGAGAAAAAAAAACAACAATAACAAAAAAGATAAATTATAATAAAATTTCAAAACAATATTCTTTGTTAAGATTGAGTCAAGAAATAAGTAAAATGTTTTTATTACATGAAATAGTAATTTATACTATTGATTATAAAAATTTTTTTTCTTTTCTTTTTTTTTTTGTTTAATTAGTTTTGGGTAAGATTTTGATGTTGGAAAAACATCTGATATAAACATAAAACAAACACTATTGTAAATTTTAAATGTAGCCTCTAAATTATAATTACTAATAAACCAAGACAGCCAAGTACAAAATGCTATATTAATAAAAAAAAATCTAAAAGTAAGAAATCTATGGGATGTATAGATCATCAAGAGAATTTTGAAACAATAGATGAATTTTACCTGGAGTCATTTTTGGAGCATCAAAAATAGATTTTTTGGCAGGTGGTGGACTACTAGAAGTTGGAGAAACACACATGGGTGTGCATCTGGGTCTTTTATTTGGACGACCCGGGGAATGCACAGGATCAAATTCCCACGAACGTTTTAAAGTTGCACAAGCCATTTAAATTTTTACGATTACACCCTATACTGCTGATTAATAGTCTCTTTTTAAACCTGATTCTTGAATTTTATTATTTATAAATATATCAAATTTAATGTATACAGTTTCAAATAATACTATTTTTAATAATTTCTAAATCAAGATCGCTTTGAAATCAACGGATATTTATTTGGATGAACTGTTTTGCCTGTAAAAAATATAAATTCGTCACGTTAAGATGGCGGTCGCAACAATTAACACATCAAAAATTTCTCATATGTTGATATTACGAAATAAATAACAGGCTAAACTCGTTTGCCGTCTCAAGTTCTGAACGTGCTCTTCACAAAACTTTAGAAAACCGAAATATGTACTATGTATAAATAAACTTTGTCGAATAAAAGTTTTTAGTTATCATTTAGGAAATAATAATGTAAAAAAAAATAAAAGCATTATTGATAAGAAGGAAAAACAATCGGGCGCAATATTTTTATTGTTTTTTTTAAAAATTATTTTAATAATGGTTTTGAATCATTAGGAATTTTTATATTTTGTCAAATAGCATTGAATTTTTCACAGTATAATTTTTAATCATGGTTATTATTTGTTCAGCACCAGGATGCTTAGCAAAAAAAACTAGTAATACTTCTAAAACATCAGTGCTATTTCACAGGTATTTTTTTTTCTTCCTTTTTGCAATAACATTTCAAACATAAATAATTTTTACTTATTGTAATTGTTTATGTCAAGATTCCCTCTGAGGAAACCCGATTTATTAGCCAAATGGGTCAAAGCAATGAAATGTTCTGGTTTCAAACCTACAGCCACAAGTTATTTATGCAGTTCTCATTTTATCAATTCTGATTATGATCTCAAATCTCCTAATGCAGCAAAACAGTTAAAGCCAAATGCAGTTCCTAGTCATTTCGAAAAGAGAAAACCTGGAAGGAAGAAAAAAGTAGTATGTTTTTATTTTGTATATTTGCATATATATTTATAATATCATCTTAATTTAACCCTATAAAAAAAAAAATATCATTGCTAAATTTATTCTCTCTTTTAGAATGATTATCAAATAACTGAAGAACCAGAAGAAGAAGAGGAAGAAGAAGTCAACAATAGTAATGCAGAATACATCAAGATGGATGAACAAAAAGAAGAAGAGTATTTACAAGATGAAACAGAAGAAAAAATTGAAACTAATTTAGCTGATATAATTGGAGATAGACACAAAGGGACTTTGCAAGTCCTCATTGTTGGAGAAGATGGTAAAATAACAAATTCAGAATACATATTTAAAAAAGAAATGGTTGAAAAAAAAAATTTTAAAGAAGAACCAGAAGAATTTTTTGAAGATGATACTGTAGATGATGAAAATCTAAGCTTAGAAAAAAAAAATGATAATGAAATGAAAGTAAAAGACTTTGAACGTTGTCTAAACAATTCCAGTGATATATGCAATATGTCATTGAAAAATGGAAGACAGAATTTAGACAAATTAACTCTTAATAAATTCAAACAACTTAATTTTAAATATAAAAAATTGAAAAAACAAAATGATGAACTTAAAATATTATTAAAATTACTTGTTTTAAAAAGAGGAAGAGGGAAAAAAAATTTAAAAGAGCTTCTTGAAGATTACGAAAAATATGAATATGAAGAAGTTAAAATTAAAGTTAAGGAAGAAAATTTATTCGTTGATAATTAATGTTTTAAATAAAATTTAATATTGACTCATTTTTAAAAAAAAAAATATTTTTTATTCAATTCAAAATTGACATTTTTTTGTTTTTGTTTTTAACAGCGATTACATTGGTTTTCGGATTTATTATTTATTTTCGATTCACATAATTATTAAAAAAAAAAAAAAACAATCAGTCTTAAAATTTAAAAATCTCCTTTGTAGGACACGGCGGTATCAACTCTATGCAAAGACGTTGAAAATGGTTTAAATTGAACTTGTTGACAATTTGCTATAAAACAAGGTTCGGATTCATCCCATTCATTGGGTATTTCACAATCCTTGTATGTGTAAACGAGAACATCAAAAGAACCTGATCCAATTTAAAAAAAAAAAAAAAAAACAAATTCAAAACAATTTTCATTTGAATTAAAAAGGAAAAAAAATGTAAAAAATTCTACTCACAAAGACAATCGAGCAAAGGTAAAAAAGTAACAGTTGAACATATTTGAAGCATAACATCTCTTATTTCCATTTGTATTTCTTTTAAATCTTTATTTCCGGTTTCTGGATATTTTTCACATTGATTTTCAATTGATGTCAAAGGATTTGATAAACCTTTTTTTAATGTTGACGTTCCTTTTTCATAATCAACAATAAAATCCCAACATTCCATTGTTTCTTTTGTTGATATATTTTTTATTATAAGAGATATTTTTTTCACTTTACGTTCCAAAAGCCATTCTATGAAAAAAAAATATTATTATCATTTATAAAAATTATTTTTATGTACATATTTTCAAATAAAAAAAAAAATAATGAAAACCTTTTATTTGATTTAGAATATTATTTAAAAAAGCTTTTATTTTCGGATCTGTTGAAACTAATATTGTTACGCCATATTGTTTAGTTTGTTCGAATGTTTCCTGTGGATAAATCCCTCTTTGATATAAAATGTTATTGATTCCAAAATCTGGAAAAAAAAAAAATAAATATATACATAATCTGGATTGATTATATTAAAAAGGAGGACGAGTGAATTGTTATGAATTGTTAATGAGTCTTATTAAATACAATATAGTTAAAAAAAATATAAATTGTTTATTATTTTCTCTTATTTTTATAATATTCTATACAACTATTAATAACATCGTTATTTCTCTTTTTATGTTTTACTATGCAAGAAGCTGGCTTTGGATCCAAATCAGATATTCCAATTTGAAAAATATATTTTGAATCGTTTAAATCTTTGATTTCATTTTGATCAAGAGTCGTCGTATTTTCACGGGGGGATTTTTGAAATACAATCATTATGGAACAATCTTTGACTGTTGTCGCAAGAAGATACCTAATTATATGTTTTGAAATATTTTTAGGATTAGAGAGCAAATCGTGTAAATAATCGTAATCATCTTCATGTGGATGAGAATCGTATAGTTGATTGATTTTGTCGCAACCCAATTCATCGAGTTTTTGTACATTTAATATTCTATTTAGTACGCAATTTTCTGGAAGTTTTTCGTATTTTTTGTCATAACACGATGATGTATTAAAAAAAATTGAATTAATTTCATCTATGAGATTTTGAGATATACGTGAATGACTTAATTTCTCCTCGTCAACATCATCTGAATTTGCTTTCCACTTTAAATCATCAAATTCGCTTAACAAAGCATGCGTTATAACCGATGTGAAATTTTCTATTAATTTTTCTTCTTCGTTCGTGCCAAACCAATCTTCCAAAATCGTTTTATAATTTTCTGAGTTTGTATCATCTAATATTAAATTTCCATTTTTAAAAATTTTCATATTGTTTTGAGGGCATTTGAGTAGTGAACGAATAGCAAATTTCATTCGGTTATGATTTCCAGAAAACAAATCCAAAGGACAATATTGAGTTTTACTTTTTACAGTTCCTTGTTTTAATTTAAGATATTGATTTAAACAAAAAGTGCATTTTTTAAAATATCTTTCCCTTATGGGAATCCAACCTTGTTTTGGTTTTATCTCAACGCAGAAAGTTGGATTGGGATTAAATGAAGAAGCATTAGAAAAAAAGCATAAATCATGGCTGATGGTAGCATAGTTGCTCCCGATTTCTTTGTTAAGTCTTTTAACATCCCTAAAAGGATGAATAAATTTATTCAATTCATTTATTTCAGCATCAGATATGAAAACAATATCTGGAACGTTAACAAAACTCTTGCCCAAAAGTGGTTGCATAATCTTTCGACAAAAATCAACTTGAAACCAAATTTTTTCTTCTTTTTTTTTTTCGTTATTAAAAAATTTTTGAAATCTGATAATTTTATTATTGTTTGTTAATGCTAATACTAAATTAGCATTTCCTTCTCCTCTGTATTTCCAAGATTTGGATTGTAGAGTAAAACAATTGGAAATCCTATGGTCATTCATGTCGAAAATGTTGTTTTCCTTATTTAATTCCAAATAATGATTTTAACAATAAATAAATAAATAAATAAAAACAAATTTAAAATTTTTCTCCATCACTTTACTATATAATCTTCAACACATCTAGAAAAAATAAAAGTGAAATTTTAAAATTTAATTCATTGAAATTTTGATTATTTTTAAAAACATTGCATTAATTAAGTTTGGTCTAATTAGTATAACTAACGACAAACAGTGTAATGATTATATGTTAATAATAATATCGATATTTACTTGAATGATTATACTTAATAGTATTTTGCTTTCCAATTTTCTTTTCAAAATACAAAGTGATACATTGACTATGTGTGAAGACTTGACTCGTCATATTCATATTTCCATTCATAACTAATAATGTTTGATGTTGATCACTGAAACTCTTTACTTCAGCTAACCAATAATATTTTTTCCTTTTTCAATTCTTTATTATATTATTTGTCTTAATATTGAAATTAAAAAATTTTTTTTTATGCTTTTGTAAGTTACCTTCAATATTATTGTTAGTTTTATTTTTTTAATTAAAACAATTCAATTATTTTGCGGTTAATTTTATTACAAGTATATACTGGGAGTAAAATCAATCCCAATTGCTGACATTTTAATTCCATCAATTCAAACCTAATGTCGAATGAGTAATAATTGTTATTTTTACATCAAAATGCAATCAATTGTCAATGCATTTTTCATGTTTCACAACACATTCAACATCATATCATGTATAATTATTTTACCAGTAAAAAAAAATACTATTTCTGAAAATGTACTATAATATGCTATTATATAAATCACATATCATGGTGCATGATATTTTCATTGAAAATCATTATACCATAACAAAAAGTAAAAATTCCTCAAAAAAAAAATAGTGTCAATATCTTACTGTTTCAGGTTACCACATATCTTTTTCAAGGTAATTTATAATAATAACAATTTGCTGAATGATTTTTATCCCCCTTTTTTTTTTTAAGTGATGGATTTTAAATTAATACTTTCATTTATTGAAAAAGGTCGTTTTTTTTTTTTGCTTGGATTTTTAAATTACAAAAAATGATGCCAGTTAAAAGTCACATAAAATAAGCATTAACCAACTGTCAAAATAAATACTTTTAAGGCTGATTTAAATATTGAATAGATTAAGTCAAAAAAATCAATTTCAAAAACATGGTATTTAATATTTCTTTTATTTAATCATCATCGACAATATTCTAAAACGCATAAAAAATTTATATATTTATATATAATTGTTTGACATGCGTTTAACACTCTCTCTTTCAACGTTCATTTTACAAAGTTTTAAAAATTGCGTTGAATCAAATATTCCACATAGTTGCAAAAAACAAAAAATTAAAATTTAAAAACTGATATTTCGACTTACTCAAATATTCTGTGACTAGTTGAGAAGAGCCCTTTAATGTTATTGTATTTTTCACTCGTTGTTCACTTGCCATTTTTTAAAAATTATATCTTTAACAAAATGGCGAATTATGGCGGCAAAAGAAATACGTTAACCGGCTACCAGATAGCATTTCTGTAAACAGTAAACATGTTTCAAATGTTTTCTTTTTGTTTCTTTTTAATTTATTTGAAATTAGTTAATTCTATTTGACGAAAACAGTTTCAAATGTCTTTTATTCTATATAAAAGTTTTTAGTGTTTAATAATTGTATTGGAAATAAATAAATATTTCGATAAAATTAATCGAATTTAAGGTAAATCGATAATGCGAATCGTTAAGGCAAATCAAGAAAATGGCGGTACAATGACATAAAACATTTTGCTTCTTAATATAGAACATAATTGATAAAAGAATTTCACTCATAACAAATTTTACTTCTGAACTGTTTCAGATTTTCTCTATTACTGCATTATAATTACACAATATCGTTGGGCCGTCTTTGTATTTATTAATCCTGATTTTTTTTTTTCATTTTGTAACCAGGACTTCCAACCAAAAAAAAGCACAATTATATTTGTTAATAAAATGATTTAAAGTCTTGTAAAATGTTTTACAATTATTTTCTATTGAAATAAATATTGTAATATATTGTAAAATTAAAGAAAATATTGAGAGTAATAGTTTCAATGCACGGAGACGTTTAAAAAAAAAATTTTTTTTCATTGATGCAATCTGATTTGAATAAAAAAAAAAAAGAAAGAAAAACATAAAAAATTAGCAAAAATTAATGATTTGAGGTATGCATATAAATAATAATTTGCCCTAAAAAAAAATTTAATTATTGGTTCGTCAAGTTAAACATGTAATTTAAAAAAAAAAAATTTTTTTTTTTTTAAGCATTTTGCAAGTACAAAAAGTCAAACTGGATAAACTTTGTATTAAAAAAATTAAAATAAAATTTTTGCAAATTTTGCATAAATTCTTTTGAGAATAAAAAATAATTTAATTAAAAATTTAGGATGATTTATTAAACATAAAAATGTAGGATGATTTAATAAAACATAAAAATTCATGAATATTAAGAATAAAAGAAAAAAAAAGAAGGTAAAATGAAAATATTTTTTATATTTATTTATTTATTTGCCTAAAAGTTACATTTTTTTTTTCACAGGTTTTTTGTTTTTTTTTTCTCTAACCAGAAACTCCGTATACCGGTTTTGGGACTGCGAATTGTCCTGTTCTAAAGGATTGAACACCTTGTCCGAAACTTTGACCTTGTTGGGATCCAGTTAAAGCTAAAGATCTTTGAATCTCTGGTGGGATTGGTGGTGGAGTTGGAAGATGGGCACCTTCTGCTCTGTATCCTGTTGAAAAAAAATAAGAATTTTAAATAAATTTTTGTTTCATATATAATTTTTGTTAAATTATAACTTTTATTCACCATTTTCATCGGCGACGTAGTTAACGGTGATAACTTGACCATCAGGAGCGGTGTAAGAATAAGATCCTTGAACGGTTTGTACGACAGAATTTTCAACGTCCCTTCCGCCTACGTTACGAACTTGAGCATTGGCTTGAGCACTGATTCCATCTCCAGTTTGGTAGCTGTATTGAAAAGAACCATCTAGTCCAATATCGTTGGAGTAAGACACAATAGGAACAACATTTGCTGAAGAATATGTTTGAGCTGGGGCTCCATACACTGGTTTAGCAAATGAATTTCGGGTATTTCCAAACTGGGGCAAACCCAAAGCGGTCCCTACTACGGCAAGGGTAAATAATATCTACAACAAATAGTAAAAGAAAATAAAGCAAATTTTCTTTTTTTTTTTTTTTTTAATGAAAAGTGAAGTAAATTCCGAAAAAAAAAATTTTAAATTTGAAAAGTCATTTTTTTAAAAATTCACTTATTATTGTATAAGAATTGGGGGATTCATAAATTCAAAATAATAAAAAAACACGCAGCGGTTTTACTGGAAATACTGACTAAACTAAATCCACAATATTAATAATAATAATAATAATAATGAAACGAAAGAAAAATTTTTAATTTTTGATCAAAATGAAAAATATCCGATAACGGAAAATTCGTGACTCTCCTTCAAAAAAAAAAAAAAGATGAAAATGAATGAAATCTCTCATGATTTCTCCTTCTTTCTATATAATACGACAGGTGGTTCTTAAAAAATTATTTTGTAAAACAGCAAAAAAAAAAAAAAACACTTTTGAAAACACAACAGAACTGTATACCGAATAATAACAATTAAATTATAAAATTTAATTTTGAATCCCCGCAAAAAAAAAAAAAAAAAAAAAAAAACCAAAAAAAAAAAAAAGAAAATTAAACACTTACGATTTTCATTTTTGAATAATTAAAAACTAACCGAACACTTAAAATAATTTGATCACAATGTTCCAGATTTTGAACACAATTTATAGTTTTATAGAGAACGAAGAGCAATGGGATGCGCCATCCCCTCCTACCATATTATTATTATTATTATTATTATTATTATTAATAACAACTTTTTGGTGTTCAACATTGGGCATCATTGCAATCTTTTAATTTCATCGTATCAAGACTTAGCTTACCCTAAAAATTATCTAATAAATAATATTAATATTTATAAGTTTTTCCTTTTTTTTTTTTTTTTTTTTGTCAAGGATTTAATCAGGTTTTAATAATGTAAAAACTTTTGACACATCAAAAACGATGATAATAATGATATACATAGGAAATGTTAATTACAAAAGGTCATTTACAATAACCGTTTTATCTTTATTCCAAATAAAACAAATGAACGCGTCACAATTACGTCTTTTCGTATACGTTCAATTAAAAAAATGAAAAATTTTTTTTTTTTTACTCTATGATATATTATTTTTATTATTATTAATTATTACGCAAATCGTTTAGAAGAATTTTTTTTATATTTAATTTCACACGCATCGTTTCCTATGTGATCATTAGAAATTTTATAAGGGTTTGTTGTTGTTGTTGTTTGTTCTCATTTAATTAAAAACTAGTTTATCATGTGAACTTGTTATGATGTTAATTGAAAACACCCATCATGATGTATTCATTTTTTTTTTTTTTAAATCAACAAACAACCGGTTTATTACCGGGTACAATAAGTATTAAATAATTTTAAAACATTAACCTTATTACGTAACAACATTTGTCACATTTTAAAAAACAAAATGAAAATCACATTTTTAATCTGGATATAAATTCATTATCAAGTTTGCAAAAACCCGGTCCGGTATGATTTTTTCTATTGACACGATAATTTTTTTTTTGTGACTTTCAAACGTGTTGTATGTTAAGGTATTCTTGTTATGTATCTTTTTTATTGTTATTATTATTAAGTAATAAGATTTAAATGAAATAACAATAGTTATGAAATAATAATAATAATTAAATTTAAAAAATAAAAGTAAAAACCCAATGAATATCATAGATAAAAAAGAGATAAATGAATTTTGTTTGAATTACTGTTGCGACAGGGGCGTAAACACGCACGCACACACAATTCAAAATCAGTTTAACATAAAATTTAAAAATAAAAAAAACCTATGTAAAATAGGAGTTTCGGGTACGCATTTAGTATTATTGTCAATAAATGACATTTAAATATTTTTGAGAGGAACTAGGGTGAAGGAATTAGCTCAAAGGAATAATTATTATTAAATGTCCCGCCCAAAACTGATTTACTTGAAATTTATGACTAATTTTCTATAGCATCTCTCAAGGGGTTTCCTAAATCGTGATTAACAATCTTTTTTTAATTTTTTTTTTTTTTTTTTACATCTATATTTTGCCAAATCATTTGTGGCTGGCCTATCCTTTTTAATAAAGGTCAAGGATTTGATGGACCAAAGGAATTTGAAACAAAATACAAATTTAACATTTCATAAGTAAAAAAAAAAAATTTTTACCTTTAATTTTTGACATTATATTTTATTTTGTAATAATAATAATAAAAATATTTAAAATATTTTGAATTATTTATTTGATTTACGAGTTTTAAATTAAACTCACAAGTGAATGCTCATGTCATTTGTTAACAAAAAAAAAAAAATTTTTTTATTTTCACCTACCCTCCACTCGTTGTGAAATATTTTTTATATGTCGAATGATAATAATAATTATTATTTTTTTGTCAATCAATTATTTGATATAATTAAAAAAAATTATGTAAATTATAAACTACGATTTTTTTTTTCTATTTCAAAAATTAATAATTGAGTAAATTATTTTAATTGAAAAAAAAAAAAAAACTTGACGTGAGTGAGTGTTTTGGGTAAAAACAGTAGATAATCATCATCATCATCATCAACATCCCCTACTTTACTGATTTATGACCTTTTTTTTTTTTTTTGTTCGTACAAGTTAAAGGAAGATGTAGTAGTAGCTGGAAGGTAGATATGTACCAATTTTATAGGCAATCAAACCTGTAAACGAGAATAGGTTTTGGTATTACCATTTTTGCACGGTTCAAGGTCTCCCGGATGCCATCTTACGAATCTTATGAAATATGAGGCTCCCACATGTTGGAACGTATAAAAAAAAAACTAATTATGGCGGATTAAAAAAAAAAAATCGATTACAATCGTAGTATTTTAAAAACAATAATAATAATTAAATATAAATATCGACAAAATTTAATTTATTCATAATTTAAATTACGGTTTTTGTGTGCATAAAAAAAAAACTAGGTTAAATTTTTTTTTTTTTTTTTTTTTTTACGTTTGGTAAATTAAATAATAATAATACTAATTAATATTTTATTTTATTTTAAAGTATATAATAATGTGTGAGAGAAAAAAAAGTTACTCGTTAAGTAAAATTTCTCGAATATTTTAATTTTTTTTCTTTTTTTTATTCGATAACTTTTTCGCATTAAATTATTATTATTATTTTTTTCTCCCTTATTTTATGTATAAATAATAATAATAATAAAAAACGAACTCGAGGATAAATTTTGAATGGAATAAATGTCGTCGTAACAATTCGAAAACATTCGTTACAAAAAAAAATTATTTTACCTGGGATGAGTAGTTTGTCGAAAGTTAAGTTTTATTATTATTATTATTATTATTATCATTATCATTATTATTAAATGAAAAAGTAATAAAAACCTTGTAACGATTTTTTTTTTATTTTAATTGTTTAAAAAAAATGATTACAAACTAATTTAAATGATAGAAATAAAAGAAAAAGAAAAAAGTTTTTTTTTTAGGCGTCGTTTGAATAGGAATTAATAATAAGAATTTTTTTAATTTATGTTTTATAGATTTGCAATAGTTTTTTGGGTGTTGTCACACGCACACACGCACGCACACACGCACGCACACACGTACTCACGAATTAAATAATACATGGTGACGAACAAATAAAAATTTTGTAATTAAATGACGTTTTTAAATTTTTTTTTTTTTTTATAACTTAATTTTTGTACAATTATATTCCATGATACAAATAAGTAAGAATTTCCTTTTAATTTTCACGCACGCACTCACGCACACACACACACACATATATATATATATATTTTTTTTTTTTTTCTCATGTATTCAGGGTTATAGGCGGAATCTCCTCGCTCTTTGACCTTTCATTAAATACGAATTCAAATATCAGTGCAAATTGTTTTGCGTGACTTATATGAATAATAATCATCATTAAGCCATGAATTTGATTTTAACATTTTTAAAAGGTTTTTAATGTAAATTTAAGAACTTTATGCCAAAATTTTCCCCCCTCTCCCCCCCAATCACGTATTAATAATGACGTCACGACAACAACGTATGAGAGAAACAATTTTCCACCTGCGACATTGTAATTCAATTCCACACAAAATTAAAAGTGAAAAAAATTTTCTTTTTTTTTTTATCTTTCTTATCATTCATTATCTATGACCCTAATCACTATAACCAGGCTCTAGCAATTATAGCAACAAAAAAACAACAAATTTCAGATGAGAAAAATTTATTTATACATAAATAAAAGGCATATAATATATATATGTATATCTATAAAAAGAATTTTCATCACTAAATTCTAAATGAAAATAATAATAATAATACTTATAAGTGGTAAAATAGGTAACAACGATTTATATGCATATTTTTTTTTAAAAACAAGCAAAGTAAAAATCACAAAGGGCACATTTCGATAACCGATTCATTCTTTTTTTTTTTTTATTCCTTTGATTCCTTTGAATGTATAATAAAATCAACCATAAACTGGACGGTAACCACCATTGAAACCACCCGAATGTGGTGAAGCTCTGGCTTCGGCAACTTGTTCGGCTACGGCTTTGGCAATGTCTGGATGAACTCCTGGACCTGATGGTTGGTATCCGAATTCATCTGATACATAATTAACTTGAACTGGCCCACCTGATATTATTATTATTATTATTATTATTATTAATTTTTAATAAAAATCATCATTAAATTAAATATTTAAAAAAATATATATTTTTTTGTTACCGTTTGGAAGACCGTAGGAAAATGATCCGGTTACTGAATAACTTTCGGGTCCTTTTTGAGATCCAGATTCCTGTCGTTGACTTCCATCAGCTGAAGCATAGCTGAAATTAATAATAAATTATTTTATTATTAACAGTTACTGCTTGGTTATATATAATGATCTAAAATCAGAAAAAAAAAAAAAATTATACTCACTGGAATTGGTATCCGCTGCCGTCTGGAGCAATTTGAAAATCTTGAGATACGATTGGTACAAAAGGTTTTTGGTATCCACCGTAGTTGGTGTGTGCAGGAAATTGAGCAGAAACAACGACAGAAAGGCAGAAAGTAACAAACAATTTTACCTGAAAACAAAAATTCATCCTTTGAGTAAGGTTTTTCCACTATTTTCAAAACAATCAAACACGAATTCACAATTTTTAAAAAAAAACCGAAAAACTCACCGAAAACATTTTTGTTCAAAATTGAAAATCAAAATTGAAAACAATAAAAAGAAAAAATAAAATAATAATAATAATATTTAACTCGATCTATAAAGGTGGTGCAGGTAATGACGATGTTATTACGTTTTTCTGCCTTATATTTATACGAATCTCCCTTTTAGATACAGTTATGGTGGAATTTACTTTTAGTTTTTTTTTTTTTTTATATTGGGAATTATAAGTTGGACTATCACGACTTTACTAAACTTTTATATAATACAAATCAAATAAAATATTTATAAAATTAAAATTTTTTTTTTAAGAAGTAATTTTCTTTTACAAAAAAAAGAGATTTAAATTTAATTTTCAACAGAAAAAAAATTTTTTTGCTTAACCTTGGAAACTCAAAATGATGATCAGCCTTAGAGAACCCAAAATATTAATATTATTATCATTATGTTTGTTTGTTTCATTTCCCATATTGTTGTTAATTATTTTAAAATATACTTTAAACCGCCAAAAAAAAAAAAAAACATTTTATTTATAAATTAACTCATTACTTATAGTAATAAAATGGTAATTATTATTATTATTATGAGGGCGTTAAACGTTGTATTTAATATTTTTACATTAATAATTTATAATTACATAGTTATTATTACAAGTACACGTGTGTACGCACGTGGATACGTAAGCATACGTGCGTGAATTTTTTTTTTTTTCCCACCAATGATTGTTACAAATGTTTTGTATTCCTTATTAATTATAATAATTATGAGAGAACAAAGAAATTTTCAATTTTATATAATTTTTTTTTTAAACAACTTTTAAAGAAAGAGAGAGAGAGAGAGAGAAGAGGAAAAACAGTAATAAAAAGTCTGTCGCTCGACAGGAATTAATATTATAAAGAAAAAAAATTTTTTTTTGTTATTTATTGTCAGTGAATTTTTTTTTTTTTTGATTTCATTAATTCGCGTAATTAAATTTTCCTCCCTTCTCCCTTTCCCTTCCCCCCGCGCATCTCTCCTTCATCTCCTTTACATTTAATTATTTTTATGAATATTTTGACGTGAAGGTAATATTACAATTTAATTAATTAATTTATTTATTTTATTTCATTTTTCATTTTTACCAATACGAACACACACACACACACACACACACACACACACACGAGAGAAAGAAAAAGAGAGAGAGTAAATATGTACAAGTATGGATAACATATTTAATAATTATCATTTACAGTATTTTATTTCCCCTCCCCCCTTCCTCTCATTATTCATTAAGAAAAAACACATATTTATTTATTTATTTATTTTTATAATCATCAATTTTTGATTTAAAAAAAAAATGTATGGAATTGGCCTACACTGTGGCATTGGTCCACGACCAAGAGGCCTTGGTATTATATGTTTAATGGTGAAATACAGTTTTTCTTTTTTTTTTTTTTTTCCTTTGTTTTTTTTATTTTAATTGTGGTTGCAAATTTTTCATTTGCATTGAATGGCAGTCAAATATGGATAAAATTCATCCGTGATTTTTCTTTCATTTTTCTGATTATGTAATTTTTTTTTAATCTTAATTAAAAATAAATATCAAAAAAATTTATTTTTCGGATCCGATTATTATTATTATCAATTTTAAACACAAAAAGATTTTGTGTACTCGTCGGAGTTTTTTTGGCATTTATTCCAGGTCTTTGCCTGATTCCTTAGGAATGAATGCTCGAACAACGATGGTTCTATCTATAAAATTTTCCGAAGAATGTCGGCCTTCCCACATAACGTGATTTCCTGTAAAATTTCTTCTTTTAAATTCTTTAAAATTTTCTTCGAATTTTCTTTTATTGAATGTGTGCCTCTCGATGGTTCCTACGATGACCGAAATAATTTTCGTCTTTACTCCTCACATCCTGGCTGTTTCAGCCTTTTGTCTGCTTCTTTGTCCGTCCGGTGTTTAATCGATTATTATATAAGAATTATGCTTTTCAGGATGATATCCGGTTTGTTGGCTGGGACAGTTCTGTCAGTGTAAATTTGTTGATCGTACGATGTCGTAACCGGGGCTGGAGTGTGGTTGTACCATTCTTTGGCATCGTATTCACGACAGATATTCCAGTGGAGATTTTAACAGATTTTATTGTGCCTCTCTAGACGTCATTTTTTGTCAATATCGAACAACCGGAATTTAAACGATCTATTGTTTCCGATGGTCTTGGCGGACCTTAAGAATAGCCGTTTCGTAGTTATAAGTTCACAAGGCTTGGTCTTTTTGCAGATGCTATAATCACCGCTTCTGTTTCAACCTTCAATTTTCCACGCCTTAACCAATTGTGCGTGTTTTTCTTATTAATATTACAAGTATATTTATTATTTTCAGATACTGTCCGACGGGTAGCTTTTTCTGTTCCCACTTGCTCTTAAGTTGGGGTTGGGCTTCGCTATCATAATTTGCAAGCTGCCATTTCTCCACATCCCATTTTCTTTGTTTTTCCTTTAGGATTTGCCTTGGTTTTTTGAGAACTCCTCTTTCGTGATTTTTCCTTTCATTATCGCAGCTTGGGCTGAGAAGAAGTAATAATGACTAAGATTATCATTATTATTATTATTATTATCATTAATAAAAAAAAATTATTTTCATTTGAAATTGAATAATTACTGTTTTAAATCAAAAAAAAAAAAAAATTATTAATTTATTATTGAACTTGAAATAAACTACGTTTTTTTTTTTTTTAAATTTTTGGAAAATTCCAGTTTTTTTTTTAACCCGTAAATGATCATGAACAGGTTGTCATTAACCAAAAAAAAAAAAAATACTCGTGATACATATTTAATACTTGAAGTTAACTTTTATAATAAAAAAAAAAAATTTAAATTGAATTAAATAATTTTAAATTATGGCAGTGTGTGTGTGTGCGTGTATCAATTTTAAATTAATTTTTTTTTAACAAAGGAAAATCATGGTAAAAATGAATACTGGATTCTTTGAAATCATTTCTAAATTTATGGATTCCAAAAATTTATATAAAAAAAATTTTTTTTTTTTTCTCATGTGAATATTTTTTTTTTTTTTTAACTTTCTTTCCATATCATCTTTATAATAATTTTTTAATAATTGATATTATTAACCTTGGCATTTATTTATAAAAAATAATCTATATTTTAGTAACGCTCCACAATCGTGAAGATGCGGCCTTTTACTTCTCAGGGCGATTACGTTATTTAAACTAAATATTAAACATTTTTTTTTTTTAATATTATTATTATATAAATAATAATTATTAAAACATTTAATTTGTTAAAAAATTTTTTTTTCTATATATATGTTATATATATATATTTTAAAAGGGAAACAAAAAAATTAATGAAAAAAAGAAAAAAAAATGGAGAATGTGTAAAAAATTTAATCAAGGATAAATAAAAATTGAGCTTGTAATTTGAATATTATAAAAGAGAACGGGTAAATAGGTAACCCCAAATTAAGAAAAAAAATTAACTATTTGATCTATATTTATAAATGTCGATCATTATTATTATTATTATTTGGAGATTTTAAATTTTTTTTTTTCCTTACCATCGAATGTAGCAAAAAACAAATAATAATGCAAAAATGGTTGATAGATCCTTTAGAAATGTTAAAAAATTCAATTGATCGTTAAAATGGCTACTACTTTGTAAATCCTAATAAAAAATCAATATTTATTTAATCATAATAATAATAACGAGTTAAAATGAAATTTTATCACCTATTCAAGAACGTTACGATAATAATTTACGGCAACCGTTTAATAAAAATTTTTTTTTTCCATTTCGATTTAAAACTTTTTTTCCCGCGTAATTTATAAATCATGACCTAAAATAAATAAATAAAAATAAGTCAATCAAATAATTATTTAAATAATGGCGAAAAAATAATTTCAATTTTTTTTTTTTTAAATAACGAAATAAAACATGATAATAACAAGGTCGAAATTTTTTTTTTAAAGTTTATAATACTAAAAAAATATTTTAAAATTATTTTTTATTTTAACAAAGTTGGATGATGATCTATTTTAAAAAAAAAAAAAAAATTACACAATTTTTACAAGAAAAAAAAATGATCTCAATTATTTGTTTAAGAAATCAAAAAAAAAAAAAATAATTAAATCAAAATTGCTTTCCAAATAATTCAATTTAATAATTTTCATCAATTGCAACAACAAATGAATGTTTTTGTTTTTTGACATTTATAAAGTAAATTTAATTTTTAATTGAGTTGTTTTACTTTTATTTTTTCCCATTTTTCCAAAAACTTTTCTCTCTCTCTCTCTCTCTCCCTCTTCAAATAAATTTAAAAAAATAATTTTTATTTGAATTTTATATTTAATATAAAAATGATTAGAAACAGAGAGAGGAGAGTAGAAGTTTATTATATATTTTAAATATTTTTATTATTAATCATTATGTAACCATCGCATCGTGTTTTTTTCAATAAATAATTGTTATTATTATTATCCCAGTCTATCATTATAAAAATTATCGTCATGACGTCTTTTTTTTTTTTTTTTTAGTAATCAATAAAAATTATTAATAATTATAATTATTTTATGTGGATAAATCCGAGTAATAGTTTTTTAAACAAAAAATAAAATACGTAAAAGTCGTAAAAGAAACCGAAAAAAAATTAAATTTTACTTAAATATGGCCACCTTAATAAATAAAAATATGCTTTTTATTATGTTTACTTGTACCTAAAATTGCACAACCTAAAATTTATTTAATAAACTAATCACCGCGATATACGTGTTAGTAAAGCAACAACGCGGGTTAATTTCTTAAAAATCTTCACTAATATAAAAAATTTTTTATAAATCAGTTTAAAAAATTCAGTTGGGGTTGGGGTTCCTCATTTACAACATAAATTTTATAGGAAAATTTTTACGATTAGAAAATGAAATAAATACCTGAAATTGATAAAAGTCACTAAGAAAAAATACTTGCGACGAGAAGTTCTTAAAGATATAAAAAAAAAAAAAAATCTTATTATTCTTTTCAACTGTATTTAAGTTAAAATAAAATAAAATTATTTAATTTGAAAATGAATCATGTAATTTAATAATTATTCATTATATACCTACATAAAAAAAAAAAATAATTATTACACTCCTACACTAATCATTTATACGTGTGAATTTAATGCGTACATGAAATTATTATTAGTTAACTAAAAAAGAAAATTTTTTTTTCCTCAAACGATTTGTTGCTTAAAAAAAATCATAAATTTTTTTTTATTCAGAAATTTAATAATTATTTTCGGATTTTCAACGGTTTTTTAACTTCTTGTCAAAAAAAAAAAAATTATTTTTTTATTTATCATTATTACCTCATGTAATTCGAAATTAATTTCTTATTCTATGATTTTTTAATTTACAAAAAAAATTTAATTATTTTTTTTTTTTTGACAGTTGGCTACACAGTGATCGTTATTTCATAAAATATAGATCGAACAATTTAAAAAAAATTTTTTTTTTTTTTTTTTATCTCAGGGCCGAGGTTAGTTTTCGAACTACTTTTTCTCCTTCTTTTGATTTGATTCATTTGATTGTGGATTTCAGGGTGTTAAAAATGAAAGTCAATTTATTAATAAAGTCATTTTATTCGTCATTATTAATAAAAATATTAAAAAAATATCTTCGTAACGGTCGGGTTAAATTGTGTACGGGTTTTATTTTAACGGTTATAATTACGTTTAATTTTTTTTTGCGTTGAATTAAGGGATGATAAATGAGGCAACCGTCGACTTATGTAATCACTGTTATGGATATTATTTATTAATAAGGGGTAAGTTAAACAAAATAATAATAATAATAATTAAATGGTTCTCGTTGTTGTTGTAGCAAAAGGTAGAGAGTTTATGATATCGTAAAAAGTAATAAATCGAATTTTCTGGCTTTTAATTAAAATCAATAAAAAAAAATTAAAATTTTTAATTAATTACTATTTTTATCGAGATGAGAATCATCAAGTAAAGTATAGTTGTGCGTCAACGATCAAGGTTAAATTTCGGTTATCAAACGAGGACCTAACGGTGAGAAAAATTCTTTTAATATATTTGATAAATTAATTAAAATGATTAAAAATTATTTCCTTATTTAAAAAAAAAAAAATTTAAATTGTACCGTTTGAATGCGGCATTGAATCGTGGAAAAATGGTCAACATAAAAAATATTATTGTTGACAGCCCTTGACACAAACAAGAAATAATTATCCCTTTTTTTTCTCTATTTTTTTTTTTCAAAAACTTCTTCCTGCTAAAAATAATAAAAACCAAGGAAATCGATGTCTAAAGTTTTATATCGATAAAAACTTATCTCGAAAGTTTTTTAAAAAAATGAAAAATTATTTATTTTAAAAAAAAATGTCGGAATTTGAATTGTGTTCGGTGAACGGTTTGAACTTTCCATTTTCGAATTGGTCAATTCGAAATGTTTAAAAACAACCTTGAATTATTTTTTTAAAAAAATATTAAAATTTATTTTTATAAAGTCATAGATATAAAAAAAAAAATTAAAATGGCGATCGAGAGTTTCCAAATTTATAGTTAAAATATCCTCTAAATTTCCCCCCCCCCCCAATTTTATACACGACACAAAAATTTTTCCAAAATATTTTCCCGAATTTTTTTTTTCATAAACATTCGATGTAATCGATTGACAGGGAAAATTTAAAAAATTTGATTAGTATATAATTTTCTTTTTTGGAAAACGCATCATAAATGGCGAAAAATAAATTTTTTCAAAACGGACAGTGATTTCCATCAGTAAACGATTCACTATGAGAAAATTTCCCCCCCCCCTTTCGCCCCAGGATGAAATTCGAAAAAAAAGAACAACAACAACAAAGATTATTGATACATATACATTTTTATTTTTGTAAAAATTTTTTTTACATTTATTTTATACAGTTGATTGTCTTTTTAGAGAATGACTAACGGATATTCTTATTTCCTTTTTCCAAAACCACCTCCTGGAGCGTTTGTACTTGGTTGACTAGCAAGGAAATCCAAAGCTCTTTGGATTGCTGGTGGAATTGGTGGTGGAGTTGGGAGATGGGCTCCAGCAGGTTGGAAACCACCTGAAAATATTTATTATTATTATTAATAATATCGGTAACTACTTTATATATACGCATTAACTTTTTCTTCTTCTTCATTAAAATCTATTAATAGAATATTACGTATGTAATAATAAAATAAGCGCCGGTAAAGTGACCGGAAATGACGTAATAACTTATAAGAGATTGGATCTTTTTCGAAAGTCTTTGTGAAGGGGATTCAAGGATTTTCTATTAAATCCCAGGAGGATTCTTTTAATCGAACGGATGATTATAAATAATTTTTTGGACAGAGTGTGCCTGTGCGCGTGTCAATGATAATACAAAATATTAATTTAATTTAATTTACCTTCATCATCGGCAACGTATTGAAGTTGAATGACTTGGCCGTCTGGAGCGGTGTAAGAGTATCCTCCTTGAGCGACGACAACGACAGGATTTTCTGGATCTTTAGTTTGTTTTAAGGTTCCGGTTTCTTCGGCTTTGATTCCATTACCAGTTTCGTAGCTTTAAAAAAATTCATTCAAATTATTATTATTATTATTATTATTAATTAAAGGAGTCAGTGAGCGGACTACTGACAAAAAAAAATCCATTTTATAAAATCTAAATTAAAAAAAAAAAATTATTAATATTTCTCACCTCCATCTGTAGCTTCCATCAGGAGCGTGTTCGTTGGTTTGACTGACAATTGGGACAACATCCTGTGGGTTCCTTGGAACGTTTTGTCCACTCACGGCGGAGCAAAAAACGATAGCAAAGATAGAAATTATCTGAAAAGGAAAAATTTTTAAACATCACTATTTCAACTGTGTTGTGAGGGAGTTTTTTTTCTTATAAAATAATGATGAAACCTTTCAATATATTTTACAAAAAATAATAATAATAATATTAAATAACGACACTTCTTATAATTTTTTTTTTTTAAATAAAAATCCCGAAAAATTTTTTTTGTTAGTTTATCCTTTTTTTGCACGTTTTCAAAAAAAAAAAATTATTATATAACACGATGACACTTTTTGAATTATCCAATTTGTGAAAAACAAAAACAAAAAAAAACACTTTGGATTTATAAAACTTAATAAATATACTTACCAATTTCATTTTTTTTGATTTTTGTGTTTTTTTTTGAAAAATTCAAAACGCCTACAAGTGATTCTCACTCTGTAGCTAAAATATGTGCATCTAATAAGTTGTAATTTGTTTATATAGAGAATTAATCAGGCAATGGATGCAGTGAAAAGAGAGAGGTATTAATCGAAGATTCTCATAATTATCTTAACGTTCTTACCGTTTCTTAATGCCCTCGGTACTGAATCATCATCATTATCATCATCATCATCATCATCATCATCAGAAGAAGGGTTCAATGCCGCAGTGATACCAGGTGGAGCCTTCACCGTTGTAATCTTACTATTTTATAGAAAAAAAAACTATATGACGTTTTAAATGGTAAATTTTTTTTTATTTTTACAAATTTAAATTTTTATTTATTGCCAGGAATAAAATACGTACGACAACACGTGAAAAATTGTCATCATCATTATTATTATTATTATTATTATACATTTTAAAATACGAGAGGAAAATCAATTATTGTTTATGACAAAAACACGTAACCTAAAAAAATTACGTAATTTTAAATGGTAGTAAATATGAAAATTTTAAGTATAATTTATTAGGAGGTATTTTAATTACGGTAAACAATATAACCGTATTATTATTATTATTATTATTATTATTATTACCTATTGTTTTACTTTATTTATTTATTTATTATCGGTTCGTGAATTCTCTATATTTAAAAAAAAAAAAAAACGACAGATGTCAAGAATTAATACCAACAACAACAAAATTATCATCATCATCATTTTATTATTTTATTATTTTTCTTTTCAATATTGTGAAATAATAAAAAAAAATTTTCATAGTAATTGTTAAACTATCATTAAATTTCATTACAATTTTTTTTTTTCTTTTCAAACAAAAAAAAAAAAAAAAAAAATGTAAAAAAAAAAAAAAAGTATGTATGGAAAGGTTGCGTAAACCTTGGTATTTAGTAATGGTAATGATGGTAGCCGGTGTCTATAGGTCACCATAAATCGCTTGTTACTTACTTATAAAATGAAGCGTACCTAAAAAAAAAAAAAAAAAAAAAAAAAACAATTGCAATAATCAAGGCTTTTCAAATAAAATGAAAAAGTATAAAAAAAAAAAATATATAAAAAAGGAAAAATTACATGAAATTTATTTCATTCATCGTTTAAAAGTGTTCACGTGTAAACAAACATTGGAAAAAAAAAATTTTCTTAATTTTTTTTTCGGGGGATTTATTTAATAAAATAAATATATAATAAATTATTTATTTATTTATTTTTTGTTTAAAAATACGAGAAATAAAATAAATAAATAAAATTTTAGAGAGATATTTAATCACAAAGGATTTATTTTTATATTTATTTATTTAAGGTAAAAAAAATTGTGAAAAAAAATCTTTTTTTTTAATATTATTATTCGTAATATATTCTCTCTCTCTCTCTCTGCTTGTGATAATGATAATAATAAAAATAATGGATACATATAAGTAAAATAAATTTTAACGTACGTCGATCCCCCTGAAAATTTTCTTTTTTCCCCCCCCCCCCCCCGAAACCCAGCCCTAAAGAAAATTTTTTCGACACGTGGATGAAAACAGTCAAAAAAAAAAAATATAAAAAAACAAATAACTCCTATGTTTATCTTTCACGAATATCGTATTAATAATAATAAATCCTGTTAGGATACATATGAGTAGTAGTAGAAGCAAGTTTCAATTTAAATCATTCAAATATTATTAAAGAATCTTTTAAAAAAAATTTTTTATCCCGAAAAAGGCCCGATAATATACATTATGTATTATTATTATTATTATTATTATTATTATTATTATTAATATTCCAGCGACATCAAATCGGGCCGTTACTCGTGTAAAAAAAAAAAGTGTTGAATTTATTATTAAATGACTTTTATTTTTATTTTTTTTACAATTACAAACAAACAAAAAAAAAAAAAAAGACAAAAAAAATTTAAATTTTTTTTATTAATGTTTTATTTATTTATTTTTATTTTTATTAAAACTTTTTCATTTTTAATGAATCAAATAGAAAAATTTTTATTACAACTACTTTTTTTTTTTTTATTTTCATTCAATGTCAATAAGACATTCAAGTGTTGTGATTGTTGTTGTTGTTGTGGTTGTTCTTATCCTTTTTTTTTTCTTTTTGTTATTCTACTACTTAAACACTAATTAATTTTTACAACAAACAAAAAAAAATTTTTTAAATGAAATTTTATTATTTATTTATTTATTTTTTAGTGTGGGAATTGTGCAAGATATTCCAATGTTTTCAAAACGTGTTCTGGAGTTTTTGGAATGTGATCCCCAACAGCACGGAAACCTATAATTTAAAATTAAATCATCCCGTTGTAAAAAAATTCCATTTCTTTCTTTTTCCTTTTTTTTTTTTTTAAATAATGTATATATATGTACTCACCGTTTTCATCGGCAACGTAATTTACGGTGATTTTTTGTCCGTCTGGAGCAGTGTAAGAGTAGGATCCAGTTACGGTTCCCAATTCCATAACTTCAGGTTTTATTTCTCCGCTTTCTTGAGCTTGGATACCGTTTTCGGTTTCAAATCTGTTGGAATGAAAAAAAAAAAAAAATTCATTAGTAAAAAAAGAAGAAGAAGATCGATCGTGAAAAAAAAACTAAAAATAAAATGACGTCATGGAATTTTTTTTTGTTTTTTTCCACGTGGACTTACGTGTATTGATAACCGTTCGCTTGCAAGTCTTGAAGTTGTTTAAGAATGGAGTAATTGCCTTCGGATCCAGATTGGTATAATCCGCTTCCTCCTTGCAAACCAGAGCCCAAAGTACTACCGAATTGAGTGGTGGTTTTTTTGAAGTTTGTTACTCTTCCACTGTTTGTAGCTCCTCCTAATCCGGTCAATCCGCCGAAAGGAGTGGCTTCAGAAGTGTAAGTTGTCGTTACTTGCTTTTGGGAGACTACTGGGTTGGTTACACCTCCGGTAACTCTAACTCCGTCAGCTCCCAAAAGTCCTGATCCCTAATAAAAAAAAAAACATTTAATACTTTGCTCCACAATGCGTTAATCTGCAACACCCATACGCAAACATAATGTTGCTCATTTAAAAGAATTAAAATTTAATTGCTCTTACTTGAACATTTAATAAGGAACTACTTTCTTGGCTTTTCGAGAAAGCGCTGTTGGATGAAGAAACAGATGATGGAGTTGTAACACCTTGTTGGAATGGGAAGGTGACACCGAGAGGTTGACCTGTCGTGCTGAATGATTCTTGAACTCTGGAGACAGTTTTTTGTACACCTCCGGCTCCTCCTAAGGCACCTGGAAGAGCACCTCCGAGAGTTGCTCCTTGAGCTCCGAAGTTGCTAGTGGTGGATTGTCCTCTGACGAATTCGCTTTGTTGAGTTCTTGTGTTTTGGAGAGAACCGGTTCCAGATTGAAGAGCGGGAACTTGAGCTCCGAGACCTTGGGATTGTCCGCTGGTGCTGTAAGATTCTTGGACGCGAGTGAAAGTTTTTTCCAATCCTCCGACTCCTCCCAAAGCACCTGGAACTCCGAGAGTAGCTCCTTGAGCTCCGAAGTTACTGGTGGTGGATTGTCCTCTGACAAATTCGCTTTGTTGAGTTCTTGTGTTTTGGAGAGAACCGGTTCCAGATTGAAGAGCGGGAACTTGAGCTCCGAGACCTTGGGATTGTCCGCTGGTGCTGTAAGATTCTTGAACGCGAGTGAAAGTTTTTTTCACTCCTCCGACTCCTCCCAAGGCGCCTTGGGCTCCAAGGGATGCTCCTTGAGCTCCGAAGTTGCTGGTGGTCGATTGTCCTCTGACGAATTCGCTTTGTTGAGTTTTAGAGCTTTGAAGTGAGCCGGCTGAACCTCCGAGTCCTCCGAGTCCTCCTAATCCTCCCAATCCTCCTTGTCCCAATGCTCCAGCTGTGTTTTGTCCGAATCCTTGTTTTGTGACGTAAGCAGATTCAGTTGTGGTGATGGATCCACCGCTGGTACCCAATGGGAATTTTTTAACGGCTTTTCCGAATACAGTGGTGGTTCCAAAACCAGAAGTGGTACCGGTTCTACTTCCTTGAGCTCCGGCTCCGAATCCAGATCCAGCTCCAAGTCCAGATCCGGCTCCAAGTCCAGTTCCGGCTCCGGCTCCAAATCCAGTTCCGAGTCCAGATCCAGTGAGTTCTTGACTTTTGAAGGTAGATGTTTTGCTAGTGGTAACTGCAAGGCGGTTGGCATTTGCTCCAAATCCTTGGGCTCCTTGAGCTCCGGCTCCGAATCCAGATCCAGCTCCAAGTCCAGATCCGGCTCCAAGTCCAGATCCGGCTCCAAGTCCAGTTCCGGCTCCAAATCCAGTTCCGAGTCCAGATCCAGCGAGTTCTTGACTTTTGAAGGTAGATGTTTTGCTAGTGGTAACTGCAAGGCGGTTGGCATTTGCTCCAAATCCTTGGGCTCCTTGAGCTCCGGCTTGGAATCCTTGGGAACCAGTCAATCCTTGGGAACCAGTCAATCCTTGGTTTCCGAAAGATGTGGAAGTTCTGGTGGTGGTGACTGAGAAACTGTTACCTCCAGATCCGAATCCTCCTTGAGCGCCAACTGCTTTTTGGCCACTTAAAGAAGCTCCAGAACCGCTTTGAGTGGTTTTCAATCCGAAACCAGAAGCTTGTCCTCCAAAGCTACCAGATTGTGTCGAGAAAGTGGTTGGTTGAGAAGTAGTCGAAGTGCTGCCAAAAGTTCCTATCGACCCACGAATTCAAATACATGAGAAATCGAATTTTAAAATCTCATTGAATTTTTTGAAATTTAATTAAAACTTCATTTACCTTCTGAAACTCTTTGAGTGGTGACCGAGACTGGAGCAAGCGGGCTAGTCGTGGTTGAAGATTGACCATCCAATCTTGTTACTTGCGTAACACGAGGAGCACCGACTTGTACAGTGGGTCCGCTCAATTGTTGGCCGCTTACTTGTGTAGTTTCAGTTTTTTTCAAAATTTGTTGAAGAGTCGAAAGTGGCAATTGGTTGGAAACATCACCGCTAGAAACTCCAGAGCTAGAGATTCGTTCGATTTTGGTTACAGTGCCTCCCAAGCCGGCCAATTGTTGCAAGTTAGCACCAGAGAGTCCGGCGCTGGCAAGATCAGCTCCAGATAATCCACCGCTCAAACTGGCTCCGGAAAGTCCGCTGCCGCTCAAACTGGCTCCGGAAAGTCCGGCACCGCTCAAGCTAGCACCCGAAAGTCCGGCACCGCTCAAGCTGGCACCAGAAAGTCCGGATCCGGAAAGGCTGCCACCAGAGAGTCCCAAAGCGCTGTCGGGGATTCTTTGAACGCTCAAAAGCTTAACACCTAAAGGTCCGCTTCCACCGGAGAGAACAGAGCCTCCGCCGGAGAGAACAGAGCTACCACCGGAAAGAACAGAGCCTCCGAATCCGGAAACACTGGATCCAGGAACTCCAGAAAGGGAAGATCCTGAAAATCCGAGACCGGAGTCGGAAATTCTTTCAATTCCAACAACTTTTACTCCACCGGAGAGAGGTTGAAGTCCACTAAGTTGACCACCAAGTGGAAATGAAGAAAGCGAAGAGCCACCAAGTCGAGAAACACCCAGAGGAGGTAAAGTCGAAACGGAACCGAATCCGCCGAGCGAACCGAGGGGGGTACCAGAAAGAGTATATTGAGGCTTAGCCGCAACAGCAGCTAAAACTGCCAAAAGGCATGTCTGCAAAAAACAATTCGAAAAAAAAATTTTTTTTTTTTCCCACATAATTCTTTATCACGAAAAACTTTAGATTTTCAAAAAAAAAAAAATTTAAGAAAAGGTTTTTTTTTTTTTCAAAGATTTATCTCTGTATATCTTACCCATTTAAACATGATGTAATCCAATGAGGCGGTCTGTCTTGTTGGCGACACGCAAGTGGACAATATTGTTACAACATGTTGTCATTTATACGGGGCCAGGTTTATTCCAGTTTATTTGGATATTTGCAAAATTATGAAAATCTCAAATACACCCATCCTTTGCTCTTTTATCGGTCATTATTTGGTCATCTTCAAGGTAAGATGTATCATTTTTTTTTTTTTTTCAAATTCAATTTATCGATTTGTTTTTTTCCGTCTTTTTGTCTTTTCCATTCGCACAATTATCAAAATTAATTTTTATTTTTTTTTTTACAGGATGATGACAAAAATTACAGGATTTTAGGGGGAAATTTTTTTAAATGAGTTAATTAATGAGTTAATCGACATGAAGCAGGATTTGAAAGGACATTTTTTTTAAGAGCTTTAATTTTTTTTCAATTTTTTTTTTTTTCAGGTTCAAGAATAAAAAAGGATGAACAATTGATTAATCTAATTTTTTTTATATTAATTTTAATGGTAAATTTTCTTTGGACGTTAATCCACTTTTCGGGTATTGATATAAACATGCAGGATTTAACAGATCGAAGAAGAATTTTACTCAGAAAAGAATTTGTTTGTTTTCGGGGGAGTTAAAGATTAAGGTTTAACAACGTGTACCCCAACAGTTTTTTTTTTTTTATGGTAATTTTTTAATTCCGACAGCCAAAAATTTGATGAGATTGACTGATTGTTAATTGAATTCAAATTATAAATTTAATTATATTTTCACATATATATTATTTAATAATAACGTAATTAAAACAAGACAACTCAGGATTTGAAAAAATCCTGATTTGGGTTAATCTATAAACAATTTAGTTTTATCACCCGGTTAAGCTGTCTCCGTTAAATAGGACTTTACATTCACAGGGTGTTCGTTAAAAAATTTTTTTAAATTTATACAATGACATTTATTTTTTCAAATGGTCAACAAAAAAAATATTTTGATCTTACATTAAAAATCCTGCAGTGGATTGGCCGTTATTATTAGCTGACAGTTATCTCACGACAGCATGCTGATTCGATACCCCTATACCTCTATATAATATTAGTGACAGGAAGACATTTCATCCCGGAAAAGTCCTTTCTTAAATTTCCCGGATATGAAATCGTTCGTTCAAATCTTATACGTTGTGTTTATTCTCTACTCTATCAATTATAGTCTATAATTAGGCTCTTCGCGTCCTCCGGTGGAAATTTGAAGCAATCAAATTTTTTTCTGGAACGATACCTGGAATTTTTTGGTTTTTTTTAAAGGGTAAAAATAATTACCCCCCTTCCTCCCCCTCATACAGCAATTAAATATTTTATTTAAACGAGGATAATTACAGATAAAAAAATTCCCTTCTCGAAAAAGGGATTTTTTGTAAAAAAAAAAAAAAAAAAAAAAATTGAAATGACATTTATTAATAAATTTCATGGAACACTCTGTATATATAAAACTGACCGGTTTAAAATTGTACTAGATCCTGTTTGAGAATGACATTTAAAAAATTTTTAAAGTCGCTCGCCTGCCGTAAATTATAAAAAAAAAAAAAAAAAAAAAAACATTTTGATGAGTAAATTTTTTTTATATAAAATGCGTAGAAAATAATAAAAAAAGTTCAGTCGGTTATTAATATTAAATAAAAAATTAAGGCGGTTTAAAAAAAAAAAAAAACAATTTTTTTTTTTCTTTGATTATGAGCTAATAATGTGTTATGGGAAAACCTCACATCCATAGAATCTTTTTTTTTTTTTTTTTCATTTTTCATTTAAATGTTATTTAAAAGGAAAATTTTTTTTTTTTTTACAGTCGAAGAAATAAAAATAAAAAATCGTAAATTTATTCGTACGAATCAAATCTGGTTTGCCTTGGGTTTTTTTTCGAAAAACAGTTAAAAAAGATGCGTCGTCGTTGTCGTCGTCGACGCCGCCATCTTTGGTGAAAATTCCTGTTAAATGTCTCCAAAAGTTCACCAATAACCAAAAATTTTACCAAACATTATTATTGTCCTGATACTTAAATAATTTATTAACACTTTTATTTTCATTATTTTATTATTTATCGTTAATGAATTACCAAGTACTCGAGAGAGAGAGAGAGAAATAGGGGGAGGGGGAAAATAATACTTATAGCAGAACAAGTTCAGTCTTTTCGTGAAACAAAATAAAAATTATTCTTCTTTTTAACAATAAATATAATAAAAATTTTCATCTTTTTATTTTAATAATCGATACAAGGGGGGAGGGGGGCGAGAAATTTATTATATATAACCGAAAGTCGTCTGCCATCTTTTCTTTATTGAGTTGTGTGACATTTAATAATGTTAATAAAAAAAAAAACGACGTGTCTCTAGACAGAGATGTCATAGAGATGCACGTTCTATTAAATAATATTAAATTAATCTTTAATTTATTTTTATGTTCTTGATTTCATTTATAATATTTTTTTCTTTTTTTCCACGTAATAATTATTGTTTTCCGTTATTGAAATTGTTTTCTTTTATCATTAAGTTATCCATTTAAAAAAACTTTATTTTTTCCGTTAATTTATTATTAGCAATCGTTTGTTTATACACTCTATGAATCCAACGACAAAATTCAACGGAAATTTTTTATTTTTTCAATAACGGAAAAAGCAAAAATTCGTGTTGTTGTAAAGATTTGCTCAAATTGCAAATTTTTAATTTTTTTTTTTTTTGAAATAAAAAAATGAAAAAAAAAACAAAAAAAAATTTTTTTTTAAAAAAAAGAAGAAAAATTTTAATAATGATTTTTTTTTTTGTAAAATCACATTACAATATGAAATATTGAAACACTAGAAATATGGCAGACTGTTGTTATTATTAATAATGATGATAAAAACTCGATTTTTAATTAATTTAACCGAATCTGTTTGGTTGTCTGACTGGACCACCTTCTTCAGGTTGTGGATTTGCTCTTATGTATTCCAAAGCTTTCAATATTTCTGGAGGGATTGGTGGTGGGGTTGGCAAATGATCACCCTGTGGTTGGAAACCATTTTCGTCAGCAATGTAAGTGAGCCTAACGGGAACTCCTTCGGGAGAAGTAAATGAAACTTGACCTTGAGCTACTTGAGCTTCCAAATCTGGATTTCCAGCGTTTTTCAATTGTCCTTGTTCTTCCGCTTGAGTACCGTCTCCAGACTCATAACTAAAATCATTATTATTATTATCGATAATCGCGATAAGATAAGGAGCGATCACGTTAAATTAATTATTATAATAAATTTACCTCCATTTGTAACTGCCATCGTGATTCACGGAGTTTTCGTATCTCAAAATGGGGACTTCGCTTTGTGGATTTCTTTGCGGTGCACAAAGTGCCGAAGCCAGGATAACTGATAAGAATACCTTTAAATAAAAAAAAAAAAAAAAAAAAGGTTTTACACGTTAGAAAAATTTAAAATAAATCTCAATAACAAAAAAAAAGGCAATTTTGAATTAAATAAATGAAAAGGCATTTGTTTTTTCTTATATATAAAGAAACCTATTCTAATAATAATAATAATTATTTTTTTGAAAAAACAAAACAAAAAAAATTTTTTCGGATGTTTACGTATTTTTTTTTTAAAAAAACTTACGATAACTTTCATATTGATAAAAATAAAATTTTTTTTTTTTTTTAGATGATTAATTATCAAACTCCAGTGAATACACTAAATGTATTTCGTTTAAAATTTTACTTTATATAGAATATCGTATTCTATCCTAGAATTATTAAAAAATAATTCATAATAGGTAAGTTAAATATTTATTGGTAATAAATTCTTTTTTTTTTTTATAAACATTAAAATAATGTTAAAAGTTATTAGTTTGATGACCTGATCAATGGCAAAGAGCAATTTTTTTTTTTTTTTCTCTTTTTTTTTGCCTACATTTTTTTTTTTTTATTATTAGTATTATTACATAAAAAAAAAAAAACTATAACCTGCGAATTAAAAAAAAGTTTTTTTTTGTCACACTAACATTCAAATTTGATAACAATTGTTTTTGTTTGTTTGTTTGTTTGTACTTGTTCCTTAATTTTTTTTGTTTATTTTGGAAAAATTAACAAAAAAAAATTTTAAAAAAAAGGCGTAACAATCCAGGATTCAAAGCTTTTTTTTAAATGTTTAATAAAAAAAATAGGCGTGACACATTGACACATGCTAATAATAAAATAATTATTATTTAACAGTTATTTATAATAATAATGATGATGATATTGATGATGATGATGAAAAATGGTGACACACGGTCGAGTTGAAAAAATAATTTTTTTTTTTTTTTTGATTTTGAAATTTATTATTAGAGAACATAATAAAAATTTTCCTTTTTTTTTCATTTTTTTTTTTTTTTGTTATGTAATAAATTACTGAATCGAGAAGATCATCTTGAATTCTTTTGGGCCACTCCTTGATTGAATTAAAACGCATTGCGGAAATTTCAGGTCCAACGCAAGGTAGAAGTCAGTTGTTTGCCGAAGAGGCCAAGGTTTTTTTTCACCTACATATAAAAAAACTCCCTCTCGATTTTTCTTTTTTTTTTTTTTAAATCAGGTAATTTATGTTCTGCCATATACGAAAAACACGCATAAACAACAACAAAAACAAATCAAATAAATATAAAAAAAAAAAAAATTCATCATCATTTGTAATCGATGAAAAAAAAATAAAAATATAAAATGTCGGTTTTTTCCTTTGATTTTTCCTCATTTTTCCTTAATAGAAAAAAACTTTTTTTAAGAAATTTTGAAATTGGGTATAAAAAAAAAAAACCATGAGAATATTTTTTTTTTAAGTATTGCATAACGGAAATGAAAAAGAAGAACCCGACGAAAAAGTTTTTTTTTTTTTTTTTGTCATTGGAAATTAAAATACCTGGAAAATTTTTTTTTTAAAACGATTTAACGTATAAAAAAAATTTTTTTTTTTTTTTTAAAAACATGAACTGATTGAAATTTAAAAAAAAATTAACATAAAAAAAAAATAATTGAGCAATATAAAATGTTGTTATGAGGAAAATACCAAGGCCAAAGGTAATAGTTCAGGTTTGGCTGGAAGCAAACAAGGTTGAACGGAGTGGATGAAGATGAGGAGGAGGAGGTTTTAGGTTATTTATTTTAATTTCATTTAAAATTATTATTATTATTTTTTCTTTTTTAACACTCTCTTAAATTTTTTTTATTTATTACATTATTATAAAGGGTTTAATATCATCATCATTATCATCATCCTACATATCAAATAATATATATATAAAAAATTAGTAATAATCAAAAAAAGGTTTTTTTTTTTTTAAAGTTGTTTTTGCGAATATTATTATTATTATTACAATCGTGACAAGTTTTTATTTGTTTGTCAGAGTTTAACCAATTATTATTATTATTATTTCAGGTACTCTCATCATCATGAGTAATAAATAATAATCCCTGAATATAATGGGTGGTAATTTAAAAAAACTTTTTTTTTTTTTTTAAATAAAAGTCCTTCCATCACAATTCATTTCTTTTAAATATTATTATTATTATTTACTATTTAAAATATTCAATTCAATCAATCAATCAATCAATCAAAATATTCAAAATATAATTGGTCAATTTTTTTTTTTTTTGTTTTTCTTTCTATTTTCCAGGTTTGAGAATAAAGATTAAAAAATTATTATTATCTCGTCTTCCTTGAACCCCAAACTTTTTTTTTTTTTTTTTTTATTAAATTAAAAATGTTGAAGGTGAAGGAAAAAATTTTATTTTTTTTTTTTGTAAGTCAAACATTGTTTTTTTTTTTTTAAAACATTATTAACCAAAAATTAATTTAATTTATGTATATATGTATGTATGTAAGTTTGTATTAAAAAATAACTTTCAACTTTTTATTTCTTTTAAAAAAAAAAAAAAATCAATCATTTCGTTTGAAATTATAAACTTGTTTTCCTTAATAAATTATTAGATTAGCAAAGCAAAAAAGCAAAAAAAGGTAAAAAAAAACAAAATTTTCATCATCATCATCATCATCATCATCATCATCATCATTATCATCGTCTTACACAAAATTAATAAAAAAAGTTCAAAGCAAGAAAACACATAAAAATTTTGTTGACATTTTTCCTTTTTTTTTTAATGAAATTTGTATAAATTAAAATTTAATAAAATGACCTTTTTGATAAGAATTTAATTTTAATTTTTTTCAGAGAGGGGAGGGGGGGGAGAGAGAGAGAGAGAGGAAAATTCGAATGTTTTTTCCTTAATAAGAAAAACAAAAATTAAATACAAACAATTTAAATGAAAAGAAATGAAAATTTTCCCGACGAGAATTTCACGTAGAAAATCATTTTTATATTCGCTAAATAAAACATGATTAAAAAAATTATTATTATTATTATTATTATTATTATTATTACTTGATTCGATAAAAATTTTATGAGCAAGTCGACGTGTAATTATTTTTAAATAAAAAAAAGTTATTTATTATTATTTTTATTTATTTACTTGTTACTTCAATAAATTTAAATAAGTTTTTATCTCGAAATTCTTTAAACTTTTTAAAAAATAGTTGAATAATAATAATAATAAATTTTTAAAACAATAATTAATTTGCCTTTTATTTTATATTAAATAAAATTATTAATATTATTACTGTATTATTAAATTTAATTCAATTTGATTATGGTTATTGCACTATAAAAGTTACAAAATTTTTTTTTATAATTAATAAAGTTTAAATTTTTATTTAACGTTTTAAATAAATAAATAAATAAGTAAAAATATTCGATTTCATTTAACAAAAGAAAAAAAAAAGAAAAAAATTTTTTTATTTATTACTCACTCATTGAAAGGAAAGTCGATGTTTTAAAATGTCAAATTTTTAAGGCGTTTTATTATAATTAAATAATATTATGTAATTATTTTACACAAAAAATATTTTCTATTGTTAAATTTAAATTACAAAACTTTTTGTTTTTTTTTTCTGATATATAATAATAATAATAATAATAATAATTTAAATTCTCTAAACTTTCATTTAAAATAAATAAATAAATAAATTTTATTTTTTTATCATTTTCTTTTTTTTAATACTTAATTAATAATAAATGAAAAAATTTTCAATTTTTATATCTTTTTTTTTTTTATTATAATACATTTTAAATAAATATATATTTATAAAAATTAATTATTTTTTTTGTATTTTCCAAATCAAACTCCTCCGGAATCCATAACTAAATTTCCATCTTTATCTTTTAATCGTATCCTTCCAGATGAGTATCTAGTCTCTTGAACACCATCCGAATAAAGTATTTTAACTGTTCCATCGGGGTATTCTCGTCGCTGGAGAAAAAATTTACGTTTTATATAAAAAAGAAGCATAATCGTTTACATCTATTACTACCTTAACCTCTAAAAATTAAAACTACAGACTAAAAAAAAAAAAAAGCAAAAACAAGGCTTTTCCACGCACGACTAGACAATGTTTGAACCCAAATATTCTAATCACGTTTTTTTTTTTTTTTTTTGTAAGGCATAAGGTGTTCAGCACGCGACCTGTACAAACTACAGAAGGCAGATATAAAAAAAAAAAAAATCCACTGGGTTCAATCATCAGCAAGAATGAAAATTCGTGAAAAAAAAAAAAAAAAAAATATACAAGGTTTAATTTGTTCATCATTTATTAAACTTTATATCTATTGGGAAAAATTGTTACATGAATTCTTTACTACAAAACCTTCCTGATACTTTTTTGTACCTAATTTGAAAAAGTATTTTTTTAATATAAAAACAAATATATCGTATACGATCCTCCCCCTGTACGATTTTTCACAACGTTTCATTCAATTGAAATACCAACACTCATATCAACTACAATATAAAATGTCACAAGACAGTACCAAACCCATTTGTGGCTTAAAAGAACAATGACATCAACGTACGTAACAGTTTTCAATTGTTAACAATAAAAACATTTTTTTTTTAAATGCCATAAAATTTATGTCATCGTGAGTACGTATACAAATTTTTTTAAAACCCCAGGTACGTCTCGATTCAAAACCCAGACTCATACACCACCCTTATGGGGGAAAGCAAAGTAAAATTATAGGCCCAAGGGTTAGGTTCTTAAAACTCGTCAATTTATTCACAGACATAAGTATGGAGTTTGCGAATCATGTTTTACAATATGTAAGAAATACATTCAATGACGACGCAGATCAAAGTTCAACTGTCTAGAACTTCAAGTAACGAAACCCCCGATGAACTTTTTGCACATCATTAAGTCAATTCCAGTAAGTCGTCGTCGTCGTCGTCGTCGTCGTCGTCGTCTTCACGTTCACAAATAATAATTTTCGCATGGAGAATTTCAGAGACCCCCATTCAAGGGCCCAAAGAATTTATTAAAACAACACTCGAATGAAAATTGAAATTGAAAACTACATAAAATAAATGAAGTCATAAACGAAAAAGTCAATAAATAAATAAAAAAAAATTATTTTCAAACCTTAAAATTTTCAGTATGTATTTCTTTTTGCCCGTTGGGCATAATTAACGTTTTATGACCCGTTTCATCAGTTTTTATTACTGTACCGTCTAAGAATCTCCATTCATCTTTTCCAGTAGAATCACAAAAACGAACACAACCGTTTGGAAATGATATTTCTGTCGAACCGTCAGGGTAACGTCTTTCGGTTTGACCACTAAAAAAAAAAAAAAAATCAGTAAAAATTATCCATTAATAGTAATTTTACATTTCTCTTTTCATCAATATACAAATGTATAAAAGTATAACATTTAAACTAAGAGGAAACACATTGTAATTTTTTAGTTTATATCAAAAAAAAAAATTTAATTTTTTATAAAAAATTATACAATTTAATTTATGGGAGAATTAAAAAAGGTTAACAACTTACGAAGGGAATTCGAAAACTTCCATTCCATCCTTGTAAGTCGTATGCCAAGTTTGAGTTTCAAAATAATAATATTTTTCACAACCATCTTTAACATTAGTTTCTTTTACATCACCATTATAATATATAATTTTAATAACATCTTGGTTAGGTGATATTTTTTTTATGTTACCATTCGAATAAACAATTTCTTTTGTACCATCGTCCAAAATTCTTTCTTTTGTATATATTCCACGTTCAGTAGTAGGTAGTTCGGAAATAAAATCTGAATCCCACATGGAAACATTTTCTTTATTTCCACGTCCTGTACGTCCTGTAATTAAAAATAATAATAATAATATATTACTGATTTCAAATCATTTTTTGTTTTTATATAAAAAAAAAGTTATTTACGGTTATTAATTTCCAAAGGATTATTATTTATCTGGTCATCATTCGTATCATCTGAATCTTGAGAAAAATTCACCGACTCGGAATTATTTTCAAAATTTTTATTTTCTTTTTTATCATTTAAAAAATATGGCACCGAAGAAATATCAGGTTTTTTTTTTGATTTTCCTTCCCTTAACGTTGAGTTCTTGTAATCAGAAATACTTATTATTTCTTCAGAAGTTTCAATAAAATCTTTTTCCGCATCTGAAAAACATAATTATTATTATTATTATTTAATTAAAACGAATAAAATTACCATAAATTAAATTAAGGAAGTCTAAGTTATTTTATTTTAAATATTTTAATGCTAAAGAGAAACCGTTAAAAACGTACCTTTTTGGTCAAAATTTGAAAACCGTCTTCCATCCTTTGGATTGGCAGATTCGGGTAAAGTTTTGTTGTCAAATCTATTTGTTTCAATACCGCTATCCGTAGAAATGGAACAAAAAATTTTTCTAGAATGTTGATTTGATGAATCGTCGCTGTTATCTAAAATAAATTGTTTTTTTATGTTTGGAGCACTATTAACTCTTCTAAGTGCGGTTTCCAATGATTGTCTGGATTTTAAAGAAACAGATTCTCTTGCTGAACACGAACATGACGAAAGTTTAGTTTTACCTATCGATGGTTTATATTTTTCTAGTTCGGAATTGACGGCGCGAATTATTTTTGCATTTAATTTTTTATCACTATTATAAGCTATTCTTTTGGAACTTAATTTTTTTAAATTTTCATTTTCATTTTTTAATTCACTATTTTCCTTTTCTAAACTTCTAATTTGATTTCTTAATCGAGCTTGGCAGGCGGCCCATCTAGATTCTTTAGTTGATACTAAACTATTTATTTTTTCCAAATCTTTTTTCAATTGCATTATTTCCTCTCGTTCTCGTCTATTGGGTCGACAATTATTTTGTTTGCAATAAGTTTCAAAAACATTTCGATCTTTTTGTAATTTTTTATAGCCTTCCGTCATTTTTATATCAAATGCTTTTCTTTCTTCTTCCATTTGCTTTTCAAATTCTTTCCTTTCTTTCATCAACTTGTGTTTCTCTTCTTGACATTCCTTAAGTAATTTTTCAAATTTACTATTTTCTTTTCGAAATATTAATATTTCCTTTTCAAGCTCTTCTAAACGTTCTCTTAGCAGTGCACTGTTTAAAACAACTTTATCAGTTTGTTCTTTATTTGAAAATTTTGTTTTTTCCGTTTTAAAATGCTTTGCCGCGGGTTTTTTCACGACTCGTTTTATTGTTTTTTTACGCGGAGGAAAATCCCAATTCATTAAAGGTTTCACATTATCTTGTAAACCTTTGCGTTTAAGTTTCATTGCAATTTTGTTTTGATCAATTAATTTTTTACTTTTATCATTATTGACTTCATTTTCGGTAAATTCAAATTGACTTCCAGTGTTGTCTTTGATTTTAGACTTTAAATTTTTAAAATTTTTCACATATTCTTGAAGAAGTCTTTTCTGATTACTGATTATTGGTTTTTGATTACTCCCTGTAGATTTTTCTTTAACTTCATTAAAATTACTATCATTTGAAAAACTTGGCAGATCTTTCATGCATTGAAAAGAATTATTCTTATCATCAGATTGCTTTAAATTACTTTCAGTATTTTCAAAAAAATCATTTTCAATAGACTCTAATTTATTTGAACTTGAATTGTTTTTTTCACAATCGGGACTAGCATTCATTTCATCTAATACATTTTTTTCCATTGGGTTGATAGAAAAAAAATCTGAGGATGGCATATTTTTTTTTAAACTCATGTTTTCTTCATTGGATTTTTGATGAATGGAAGTAATCGATTGATCCATTAGTTTATTCACAAACGAAGAAGATGAACAAAAACTATCATCATTAATTTTTTGTTCTAATATTTCAAAAACTTTTAACTCTTTTTCATCTTTTTTTGTTTCAAAATCGCCTAAATCAGAGATTGCAGGAGACTCAAGTTTTTTTAACTGTGTTTGCCTCTCCTTTTTAAATATATTTTCAAAATGAAATGGATAATCTGAAGTTTCTTTAAAACTTTTTAAAGCGTCTGGAAAAAAATGTTTTTTTTCCTTCACTTTGCAATAAATATTATTAGAACTAACTGGAAATTCTTTATTCGATTTCAAACTTAATTGCTTAGAAATGCATTTAGGTTTAACATTGTTTGAGGGCTTTGCCAATGTTTCTGATTGTGATAATCCACGATTTTCATCTTGTCTTTTATTTTTTATACTTTTACACGTTTTTGGCTTTTTATTTAAATGGGTTTTAACTCGTTTTTCTTTATATATTTCAGGTAAACTTTTAAAATCTTCCATTGTCATTCTGAAGCGAGCCAAACCATCTCCTCTTCTTAAAAAATTCTTTCGAGTTGGTACAATATTTTCAAATTCAGGATAAATATTTTTATAATTATTTTCCATTAATTCATTTTCAGATTCACATGTTCTTTTTCTCAATTCATCATTTATATCATCATCACTATGTTTTTCGGTTTGTTTTCTCAAAATTTTTTCTTTTAAGTTGTTTATACTGCATTCACCTAAAAAAAAACATAAAAAATTACTTAATCAGTAAAATATAATTAATTAATTACACTGTTATTCATATGCAATATATGTATAAATATAATTCTAGAGGCATCAAAAAAAAATTAACATTAATTAAATAACATTACAAACCTATGGAAAGATTCATTGGTTTTAAAATTGAATGACTACCAAAATTAAGAAGTTCTCTTTGAGTTTTTTGAAATTCTTTTAATTTTTGTTGTTGTTCAAGTTGCCAACTATTTAAATCAGCCAGTTTTTGCCCAAAGTCTGAGAAAATCTCAGATGCCATGTTTAAATCTTGCAAAAAATATATTGTAGAAACCAAAGTTAGAATAAGTTATAAATTATGTCAACCGAAAACAATCTGGAAGAACCATTTCTTAATTGTACATATATAAAACATAACAAACTGTTTTTTCAGTTTTCAAATTAAATCTTACAATTATTAATTTACATTTATAATAAGTTTTAAATACTTTGTACAGGTTGAAATAAGTTAAATATTAAAATCTCCGCTGATAAAATTAAAAATTCAGTTTTGTGATTTAGGATCAATCAATGCTTAGCATATTTTTTAAATAAACCTTCATTTGAAACCGTTTAAATCTTTTCATTTAAAATTCCTTTTCTTGACAATAATAATAAATTAAATTGGAAAAAAATTTGATACACAATTAAAAAAACAATGAAATTTGAAATGAATTCATTGTTAAATATGTAAAGTTTAAAAGCTATTTAACATTACAACACAAACTTGACTTTAAACAAATAAAAGTTTAACTATTATTGTTACATTCTTAACATTTAGTTAATTGAAAAACATTTGATATCATATTAATATTTGATATTAATTCAATTAGTTAAATTTTAACGTAAATAACGCGCCACAAACAGCGTTTAAATTAATTTATAGCGAAATTTTTTTTTTCACTAAAATTAGTTTAGAAATAAAATACAAATGTTTTGAAACAATTTAAAATTTTTTCATTTTCTATTTAAGATTCACTTTGGTCTCAATTTTTTTTAAAAATGTCTGTTACTGCATCCCTTTATCGCATTTTGTTTAAAAGATCTTCAACATTTACTTTAACCATATTGGCCGGGGCTTTCGTTTTTGAAACCCTTGTCGAAAATGGTGCAAATGCAATTTTTGAACATCATAATAAAGGAGTGAGTAACATATAGAATTTTAACATAAATTTATTTTAGTATTTTTTCAAATTTCCTAGTAAATATATGTCTGAAAAAAAATAATTATAGTGCAATATCTTTTAAAGATTAGTACTTTAATTATTATACCTTCTTGATGAGTATTTTTTAAATTAGGAAAAAAAAAGTTTTATCAATTAATTTAAAAGCTTGCTAAGCATAAATGATTTTGTTAAATCACATTTGCACATACATACACATAAATACACATGATTACATATTTGTATAATTTATAAATACTAAAATAAATTAATATTTCCAAAACTATATTATAAAAACTTATTATTTTATTTCAGAAATTGTTTCATCATATGATAGAAAATCAGAAAGCCAAAAGCGAATAATTATTTAGTAAATGTACCACAATTTAGAACAGAATGATTTT